TCATGACTTTTTTTTGTCTTAGCTCTAGTTCTTTTGTTTTGTCCTTCTGGAATTCTAATTTGCACACCGTCTCATTTTTTTTTTGTCTCTGTATACTATATTTTGAATAATTTGTTTGGATTTATCTCTTAGTTCACTAAAAAATTTCCTTCTCTGTGCCTAATCTGATTTTTTTTTTTTTTTTTTTTGCTATACAGGGGTTTGTACTTAGGGCCTCACACTTGCTAGGCAGGTGCTCTTACTGCTTGACCATTCTGCCAGGCCCCTAATCTGATTTTTACCTAATCCTATTGAGGTTTCTTTTTTTTTTTTTTTTCAATTCATAGAGGCTTCATTTGATTCCTCTTCAAATTTTCTGGTAATTTTTAGTCTTTTGCTTCTTTATCATACTTTGCATTTTCAACATATGCCTATTTTAAAAAAATGTAATACATACCTATATTTCTATTCAAACTTTTGTGAGATCTTACTATATTATTTCTCTTAATTCTCACTCATGCCAGCTAGTTTTTTCTGGTGTGTGTGAGGGCGGAGGGGAGGAGTTCAAGTTCTTTGGAACTTTATCTGTGGAGATTACTGGTGGCTAAGGTTTTTAAGGGTCTTCCTCCACAGAAAACTAAGGTTTGCTCCTGACAGTCTTCTGGGAGCATTATCCCAGAAAAACAGCATTAAGTCCAATTTTCAAGTTGAAATTTTCAGGCTAAAATTGTGATTTAAATTCTGATTTCAAACCCATGTGCTGATGGGCTTGCGTCAGGAAGTTCTCTCGGAGGCCTTGCCGTCTGTGATTAATCTCGGGAGGCTCTAATTGCTGATTTTCTCAAAGGATGGAATAAAATGTTTATGCCTCCTATCCAGCAGCCTGGCAAATGTGAGAAGGACCTGACATGATCTGCATGCCCTTATGATCAGAAGAACAGTACAAGTTCATGTCCTGAACCTACGCGGAAACATAACAGGTGCTCAAAGTGTATTCTTTTGTACCGTGTGACACGTTCATTTGTACTAATTCACATCATTTGTGTGTGAAATGAATATATTATGATGCTAATATAAGTCGGCTTTATGCCTTAGACTCACACTGGTTCAATATCCGAGGTACCTATTTTATCCCTCCACATTATAACAGTTGTAGATTTTTAAGCTTTCAAGAGGGTTGAGTTCACAAAGATAACATCAATAGCAGTTTAATCAATTTTTCAAGATGAAGATGTCAAATATTCATTCATGTCAATAAACTATGTAAAATCTCTTAACAAGCATGCAAGCATGTTTTTCTTATGATAATCTGGATACAGGAAGTGAGCGAAAAATAACGTGTTGATTTACACAGAATTAAGCATGAGGAGGTAACAGAAGAAATGACTAAAGAGAAAAAAGTCTTTTATATTTCAAAAAGAATGCTACTAAAAAAGTGAGAAATCAAGGAAGAATGTTCCATACAATTTGCAGCCAAGCATGGTGGTGCACACTTGTAATTCCAGTTACTTGGGAGGCACAGATCAGGAAGACTGCTGCTCAAGGCCAGTTTGGGCAAAAAGTTCAAAAGACCCCATTTCAACAAATAAAGCTGGGTATGGTAGGATATGCCTATCATCTCAGCTACAAGGGATCATAAATAGGAAACGGTCCAGGACAGCCTACACAAAAATGTGAGACTCTACCTGAAAAATAACTAAAAGCAAAAAAGAGCTGGGGATATGGCTTAAGTGGTGGAACACCTGCCTAGCAAGTATGAGGCCCTGAGTCCCTCTTCCAAAAAAAACCAAGCAAAAAACCCAATTTTACAGGATGTTTTCTTAAATTAGTGCTTACAGCCAACATTTCTAATTTTACCCTTGCAATTATTCCATTAACACCACCCAAAAGAGAAAGAGTAAGACAAAAGAGCTGCTTTGCACCAAAGATGCTTTTCTTACTATGACCTTATGCTTACCTCCAGGAGTATTTCAAGCAGTAAAAGGAGGCTTCTCTCCAGAAGGTTATAAAAATGCAGACATTTCTACTATGAGTAACCTCTTTTTGGTTGCCTTCCAAAACACAAATCAGCAAAGTCATGTGGAAGAAGAGTGTTGAAGAGAGAACTACAAAATTTCCCAAATTAACTCAATCTAATTAGAACTATAATTGTATTGTGCTCCATGCTCTAAAGTTCAGTCCTACAAACACTTGGGATTTTCCAGGAATGAAGCTATACAATCCCAGCCCTTAAGAAGTCTCTGGTGCAAAGTAGGTGCTTGTACAGTACAGCCTTGGTGTCCACGTCTGTGGTTCTAGGCAGGCCACCACTGAGGGAAAACCGTGCGTGCCCAGGATGCGCAGAGTTCGGTCCTCTGCCGTTGCTCAAACTTGCCTATACCACATGTGCAGTGGGTCTGAGCACCCACGACTTGAAGCCATGTAGTAGGCAGTGGTACTGTCACAAAATGACTGTAGTACACTGAATATGTATCAATGTACACTCCGATATGACCAGATCTTCTTTCACGCTGTCTCAGATACTGACATGTTTGATCCATCTCTACATAACGCCACTCAGTCTCCCCTAACACCATGCTGCCTTTCACCAAATCTAAAATTTCACTTTATCACTTAAATTAAGCATGTTACATGCCTTTCTGGGTTGGATAGATTACCATAATGTTTATCTTGTTCTTTGGGGCACCATTTGCTTTTTGAGAGGTGGATTTTCATGAAATTAAGGGTTGGGAAACACTCAGCAGATTACGCAAAGATTTAAACATAGCTGACTGCAATGTGGGACTGAGCGCATCTCCACAGCAACTGAGCTGCAGAATTTGTGCACATGGGAATTTAAAATGTCTTTTAATTAATTAGTTATTTTTGACCATGCTTGGCCAAATCCGCAGGTGATAAATTGGTAAATAAAACAGGCTTACTGCAATCTTCAAGAAGCACAGCCTCCCACAAACCCAGGGCATCCACAGTCCACTACGAAGGAGGCAGCATCTTATTGGGTACCAAAGACAAAGCAGCCAGAGCTAAAGATGGGGATGGAAAGAGAGCCATGAGATGGAGACTTCTAGGGATCAAGCAGGATTTCAGGGATGGAGCAAAATTTAACCCAGACTCATGGAGTACAAAGTAGGTAAAAATCAGAAAGGGGCAGGTGGGGCATTCAGGAAAGGGACAGTGAACCAGGACAGCATGAGCCAGCTCATGGGGGAGGAGGGGACCATTAGTTAAAGGGCAGGGAAGAAGAAGGTTTGGCCAAAGTAGATGCTTTATACGGCGTGAATTTAGTGGTAGAAAGTAAGACTGAAGAAGTAGGAGGGTCCAGTTACAAGGGCCTTGAGTTCCAGCGTGAGGGTGCCTCCCTATTCTACAGACAGTGAGTTGTTATGGATTTTTAAATAAGAGAGTAAGAGAGTAAGCAGAAGATTAATTTGTTAGAAATATGTACATAGGTTAGAGGTTAAAGAATGAAAAAGGCCCAATTTTGGACTCTAAACTTAGGTACCAGTCAAAAGTGGGCACCATAAAGTCTGGTAAAGATGCTAAGAAATATTCACATTACTGGAAATTGAAACCGTCACATAACCCCATTAACAAGCTCACTCAGAGCTGAATGTGGTGACTTATGTGTGTAGTCCTAGCACTGGAGAAGCAGAGGTGGGAGATTCACTTGAATCCAAAAGTTGAAAGCAGCCTGGCTAATAGCAAGACCTCATCTTTCAATACAAACAACCAAAAAACCAAAGAGAAATCCCACTCACTATCACATTACATGTATATCCTAGATTTGAAGCTCAAAGAGAAGCAGATTTCCCCAATATTAAGATTCTCTTCCAAGGATTTAAAAAATAATCATAATGAACTAGAGGACCAGGGTTCCAACACAAACATTTACATTAGCTCGAGCACTGCAAAAGCATAGGGGACAAAGCCTGCTACCTGACAAACCAACACATTTCCTGTAAGAGCTTTCATGCTTTGTGGGTGTCAATGCTATTATTAAGTCATGAGTACATATACATTCACTTACTCTTTTTTTTGTTTTTTTGAGACAGGGTCTTTCTAGTGTAGCCCAGGCTGACCCCGACCTCATGATCCTCCTGCCTCTGCTTCCCAAGTGCTAGGATTAAAGGCATGCACCACCAAGGCTGGCTTCAGTCTAGAAATACTTATTTAAGGTCTACCACTTGCCAGTCTCATTCTACACCTGGAGAATCTCTCTGAGACGCTCACAGTTAAAGAGAGAGCCAAATGATGTAAAGCAATCAGCTACTCCAATATCAGGGTGAGGAGCAATGCAGGCAAATGAGTGGTCGGTACAATGGTCCCTGATGGGGAGAAAACCAGTAAAAAAAGGGCAGAAAGGGACAGAGGAGTGGTGGGAAAGGCAGTCACAGAGGCTGCCAGGAGCAGCTCTTTGAGGCCCTGTAGACTATTGTAGACTCGGCTTTTAAGTGTAATGGGAGTCACTGAAAGGATAACAATGAATATAAAAATAAAAAGATGAACTGGATTGTGTTCTAGGGTACATATATCATACACTAGATCCTTCCTAATTTTCTTTTCATATATCTAACACCCTTTTAGAAATAGCTGACTTGTAAGTTCAAACCAAAAGGGACACCTTTGAAACAAAAAATCAAAAGAAATTTTCATTAACATTGTTATTGTTAAGGCAAGATATAAAAGTGGATTGAATCATAGGTGAGATATCCAGGGTTATAGCCACAACTAAGGGTTGGTAAAACATATCCGATTACTATGCTCAAGTGCAAATATAGAAGGTAATAAAATAAAACAAAGAACAAACAAGCACACAAAACAGAAAATGAGGAAGGTAAAGTACCAGGAGGAAGAAGAGGTAAAGAGAAACTGATCAATACGTTTGGCAGAATCCCTGTTGAAATCTCAGCTGTTTTTTGTTAGAAACAACAGGCATATCCTGAAATTTATATGGAATTCCCTAGAATAACTAAAATGATTTTGAAAAAGAGAAGTTATACTAGTCAGTTCTCAGAACTTACCATGAAGTCACAGTGCTCAAGACCATGCCTTTACAATGTCTACTGTAAAAAGAAGACACAATTAAATAAAATAATGAGTCTCACATGAAGAGACATATGGAGAGCAGAGGAAGAAAACTGAGACTCCAGAAGTAAAACCACACGAGATGCCAGGGCAATCCAAAAGGGCAAGGGACAGTCATGTGGTTTCTGGACAACTGGATACCCACACATCAAAAAAGGAACTTGGACCCTTACCTCAAACTTACACCAAAATTATCTCAAAGTTAACACAAAAATGGATCTAGACTGAAACGTAAGAGGTAAAACTATAAAATTTCTGTAAGAAAACCATTTTTGACTTTGGGTTGCAAAGATTTCTTAACACCAAAAGCACAATCCAAAAGAGAAAAGCATGGCAAATTGGATGTACTCAGAATTAACAACTTTTACTCTTTAAAATATCATTGATAAAATGAAAAGATAAGACATAACTTGAGATGCATTACTTCCAGATCATATAGGTGATGAAGAACTTAGGTTCAAAGTGAGTGTGGTGGCACATACCTGTGGTCCCAGCACTCAGGGGGGTGAGGCAGGAGGATCATCAGCCTGAGCTACATAGCAAGAACTTGTCTCAGAAAAGAGGAGAAGGGGAGAGAAGGAAGAGAAGGAAGAGAGCGAGGGAAGGGAAAGAGTGAGAGAAAGAAGGAAGGAGGGAGAGAGGGAAAATGTGTGGTCAGAACTTTCAGCATTAAAAAAATCACCTATTTATACCTACAACAACACCGACAAACTTCAGCAAGACTATGCAAATACAAGAAGCCAGAAACAAAAGAACACACATTGTCTTATTCTGTTTACATGAAACCTCTAGAAAAAGCAGAACTATAGAAACAAGAAGTACAGCTGTCCCTCTTTATTTATGGCTTTGCTTTCTGAAGTTTTAGTTAACTGTGGTCTGAAAATGTAAATGGAAAATTCTAAAAATAAACAATTCATACACTTTAAATCTCTTTTATTGCTGTTAATCTTTTAAAGTGCCCTAATTTATAAATTAAGCTTTATCAGGTATGACAAATCAAAACCACATATTACTTCACACCCATTATAATGTGTACTATAAAAACAAGACACAACTACATAAAATGGAGCCTTTGTGCACTATTGGTGGAATTGTAAAACAGTGCAACCTCTACAGAAAAAGTGTGGCAGTTCCTCAGAAAAATAAAAAATAGAGCTACTAAATATCCAAAAATTTCTTTCTTTCTTTCTTTTTTTTAAAAGACAGGGCCTTACTATTTTGCCCAGTCTGGCCTGTATCAGCCTACTGAGTGTTGGGATTACAGCTGTGAACAACCATGCCCAGCCATAAGCGAGCATAGTTTTAAAGAGATATTTGCTCACCTGTGGTCATAGCAGCACTATTCACAACAGTCAAGAGGAGCAGGGTCTCTTGGAGGCAAATTTATTAGAAGGAGCATAAAAGGTATCTGCTAAAGGACTGCATATCTAGGGACACAGATTCTGCAAAATCCTGTAACTCCCAAGAAAACTCTAAGCTGCCTTATGGTATGGGGGAGAGGGAAACAGAAGATTGGGTTGATTCACTCATGACTCAGGGAGTGAGTCTGTCCCTTTAAGGCCACACCTAGGTAGGTGACCTGTGGGAGGCAGGGGCTGTCCGGATTTAAATGTAACACTCTTGGATAAAAGAGAGCTCTAGCTCATTTTTTATATAACTTTGTAAATGTCAATACCATATTTAGATAAAATACAGATACAACACGGTTACAAGGTGGTCATTTAAGACACATAAGCAAATATGTAAATGAACTCTGATTTAGTAGTACTTAAAGCTTGACAAGATCAGCAGAAAACACAAATAATTTTTTTGATAAAATCTTTCTCTTAATGTTAAAAATCTTAATGGTTTTTTTGTAGATGTTACTCAGTATTTTAAAATTCACTTTTACAAGGATTTTAAATTTATTATAGGGGCTGGAGCAACTAATTAGTAGCCCTTGTTGTTTCAAGGAATTTATGGTAGGCATAAGGCCTCATGTCCCTCAGGCTTGAGGGGATGTTGTTTTGGGTGTGGAAACTGCAAGGGATCTTTGAGTTTTATTTGAATAGGGAGGGCTGTCCAGGCTCGCCCTACACTCATCTCATCAGTCCACACTGTGGAATCTATTTATTCCTGAAGGATGGGGCAGCAGAGATAGCTGCCTGGGGGGAGGAGAATTTGAGCTTTTAGTTGAGATAGTAAATCCCATCCTAGCAGAGTCACTGGAGTTTCAGGAACTATGAGGAAAGAATGACAGAAGAGGAGGTCTCTCAAAGAGCAGGCCAGGGACTGGGTAAAGTAGCCCTCTAGGGGCTGGCCAGATTTGCTCCAAACGATAACTTTTGTCATTGGACCAGGAACTGGGAGAGAAAGGTAAAACAGGGAAATGAGCTCCACTATCTAGGAGGAAAGTGATCTTTTGTTTTTCTGCCATAATGGCTACCACGAGGCTCCTCAACATCGATGCCAAGAAGTGGAGCGTGGACAGGGGGCCAGGACCCATCAATCATAGAAGCTGGCACCTCGCCTTCCATCAGGAGGCAGGGGCACTTTGACCTCCAGTGGTTACCTTTGCAGAGAGGGCAGGGTCCTGGTTGGGGGTGGGGCTGTCTCCCAGGCTGTCCCCCCTTAAGCATTCTCTGCAGAAATGCCCCTCCTGTCCACCATAGTAGCAAGTTCAGGATACAGGCCCCAGTCGGGTAGGGGCAGCAATGAGGTCATGACGTCTCTTATCTTTCTCTCTGTTAGTAATGTCCCGGTTACAGTATACAGACATGGCTAGTTGTATTAGTTGATCCAATGACTTTTCTCCTTTAGCCACAGACTGAGTTTTCTACAAATATCTGTGGCTGACTGTTAGAAATTTATCTTTGAGGAGAACCTCTCTCACCTGTGATTCTGTGTCCACTGTGGTATGCTTTCTGATAGCATCCTCAAGGTGCTACAGAAAGGTAAGGGGATTTTCTTCAGGGCATTGCTGTAAAGCAAAGTTGTTATTTCAAATTGATACCTGATACTCTGGAGAGCAGGTCTCTGAACCACTCTGGGCCTCAGTTTCCTCACTTGAAGAATGAGGGATCTGGTCTAGCTTAAACTGCTTTTTTCCACTATGAGATGGCTGAAGTGAAATTAACGTCACTTATCTTCCTTACCACTTTTTGTTTTTGATTTAGCAATGCTGGGGAACTGAACCCAGGATCTTGCACATGCTGGGTAGACACTCTCCCACTGAGCTACGTCCTTATCCCCAAATTTTTTTTTCTTTTTCCTTTGGCTGTACTGGGGCTTGAACCCAGTATTTTATGCCAGCAAAGTGGCACTCTACTGCTCGAGCCATATCACCATCCCCTTTTGATGCTGATCTATCAAGGGGACTGCCTGTGCCCCTGTAGATAGGCACATTTATTCCCTCATTTCCAGGTACCACTAGTATTGGGGCTCATTGTAAATGGTAATCATTTCCAATCGGAGCAGCCTGGGCTAGAACCCATTGCTTTTCTAATGAGAAAAGAGTCTGGTCTAGTAGAAGCATAATATCCTTTCATGTCAATTGAAAGGTTTGGATCACAGAGATAAAGGCTTGAATGTATTTGTCTGGGCATCAGTATGGCTATCCAGATGTTTTTTAATTTCCCTTAGATCTGATAGCTGGAAGGGGACAAAGATGTGCCCTCTTCCTACCATTACCTGTTGAAGGGGAAGCACCCAGTAGGAGGTTCTGAATATTGGGGTGGCTTAGAAGGTAAGGCAGGGGGTGGAGCAGTAGGGATGAGCCTTGTCATTGATAAGGGGCTTTTCTGGTCCTCCCTTCCATGTTTATCCTGTGGCTTACAAAGAACGGCCAGTATTTGAGTACCTAAATAGCAATTGTGGAGGCAATCTGAGTGGTCTCAGAGATGAAAGAAAATTTGTATGGGGGACCTCAGTTCACTTTTTTCCCTTTTATAGAAAAGGTCTAATTGGAGTATGGTATTGTAATTTAAGGAGCCCTGTGAAGGCCACTTCTCTTGGTCACCCAAGGCATAGTGAGGCCAGGCCTCAGTACAAAGCTTCCAACATCTACCAGCCAAAGACTGGAAGGTGCAGGTCCCATCTAGAAAGAGCAAAACACTAGGATCCTGTCTTTTAGCTAACAGCAGGCAGCCTCTTTAATAAAGGCTACTTTTTAACAAAGGAATAAATCGTCTGTGAAGTTAGAGGAGGGCAATCAGAGGGCATCCCGGGCTAATAACAGTACCATATGGGACAACTGGTGTTAAGATTTGGAGGGAAAAATTTATGCTGAGGCCGAAAGTATAGAAAATTTTAAATGAGAAGTTTAGAGACCACAATAATGTCCATTTTGTGATTTCTGCAACTATAACCTTGAGCTAACAATTGGTTCACAAGGGCTGGGTCTGATGTCCCAAGGTGTGCGGTGGGGCTAGGAGCAGGGTGTGCGCAAGGCACCCACCCCCTCCACACACATCCAGGACAAGCGAGACTGACTGCCTAGGCCTGATCCTGTGGCCTGTCGCCCCTCTGCCTTTCTGTGTACTCTGTGCACGTTTATTCTAGGGGAAGTGGCGGCGGGCTGTAGCCACCGCCATGTGCGGCTGGTGGCCTAGGATGTGTGTTGGGTTGGCCTATGGATTCTCTTAGCTATGGCAGGCGTTCCCACTGTGCACAAGCGCACCTGTTTGCTTTCCCTCCTCTCCTTGTGGGGGCAGAGTTAGGGCATTAGCATGGCAGCTGCAGTTTTTTTTAAGCGCTTTTGCCTCACCGGGTGCCTAGCAGCTAGTTTAAAGTTACTTTAGCCTGAGAGGCCTGGCAAACTAGTTGGAATAACTTAAGTCATAAGGTACCATGCTACAAGTTTTTCACGGGAGGCAGGGTGCAGGTAAGCCCAGGGAGGGGAAGGCAGACAAAGACAAAGGAGGAAGCAGAAAAGGGGTCCTGACATCTTAGGTAAGGGAGGGGAAGGCAGAGCCTGGAGGCATGACACACGTCTGAGGGATGAGCCATCACCTGTGC